CCAGTGCCCTAGAAAATTAAAATGAGACAGTACGTACAAAAGGGTAAAAAAATTAAAAAGATCTGGTTCATTTATTTATTTAAAATAGACGTAATAAATTCTAGCCAGTTCTATTACCTATATGGCTAATATATTTCGGCATAAAATATAATCACAATTATTAATAATCAACTCGATCGATTTTGATACCTATCTATTTTCTTATCATCATCGTGCCTAATTATGTACAAAATACGAAAATTAATACGACTACATTTACAAGTAGATAATAATTATAATTATTTTCATTATCAACAAAAAACAATAAATTAAGACTCTGAAAACAAAAATGAAGAAAGTTTGACTACAAAATATACTAATACGATTTTCCCGTTAATAAAAAATACTAAACAACCGATCTTTAATCAGACACATAGTGCAAAAAACCTTCCTATAGAAATAGTAACATTTAATTGCATAATTAGTCGATTTTTATATTGCTTGTGCTCTTTTAAATTATAATAAGTTAATAAATCAATAAAATAAACAATAGTATAAATATTTTGTCGTATATTTTTTTAATGAATTGTAGACTTTTGTACTTTACGATTAGTTAAGCACAAAATAAATTTTAAAATGCTGTGAAACTAACGATAATAAAATAAAACAAAAAAATCCTCAAAATAGAACAACAAAAGAATAAAAAAAAAATGAAAAAATAACAAAAAAAGACGATACTATACTGACTTTTGTTTTACTGTTCCGTACTAAAATACGAGTCTTGCATGAGGTAAAGCTTGTCAATAGGATTAGCTATGGCACCTGGTGGCAGGCCCTCATGGGGCCTCGTATTATGGGAATTTTGCATTTCCATATTGTGTATCGACATTGTATCCGACGTTGCTTCGTCCAAATGGTCAAAATTCGTACTGTCGTCTAAGGATATGTCCGAACTACAAAAACTTTCTCCCGAATGTGCTGGATACGCATCTATTATAAAACAGAATTATTTATTAGGGATATGCATGACTATTATTCACCTTAACAAACACTTACCATCGGGAGAATAGGGCATATTGGGATTCAAAGGTTGACTGGACGTTGCGAATGTATCCCCGATACTATTCAATCCCAAATAGTGACCCTGATCGCTTCCTGGAGACTCCTGCTTGATAATTTTCTCGTCTTTTTCGCTCTTCTCCTTATCAGACGACGTTTTCCCGCCATCGTCTTGCTTGGCTTTCCTCTGAATTTTCTTCATTTTCGCCCTCTGATTTTGAAACCATACTTGAACCACACGGACGCTAAGACCTGTCTCTTTTGCTAGGGCTTCTCTCACTTTTCGACATGGTTTTGGACTTACTTCGAACGAGGCTTTGAATTGACGACGCTGGGCCGACGTCAGTATCGTACGCGGGCGTTTCGGACCCCTTCTACCATCCCTTGGACGTCCTTTAATCAAATATAAAATATGATTATTGTAAATTGTTTCCCTAATTTTAAGTAAAATGTCAATCGTAAAAACAATGATATAATAACCGCAATGTAATTTTTATGCCAACACTAAAATTAAATTGACAAAAAATGTAATTAATAATCATCTTTTTGGTAATATTAGTTATGTTACTGTTGAAAAAGTCATTGTATTTTTATTAAAAGACCCATAAACAAACAATAAAACGATATTTAATAGTTGTCATAATTAAAACGACATATTTACGTATCTCTAACCATACTTCTATCGGAACGATGTACACGCTCCGCCGCAGCGCGCCTGACTAACTTAAGAATGCATTTGTAGCAAATTAATGGCCGCCGCTCGTGGCGCCAAGGCGTCAGCCAATCAGAAATTAGGTCAGATTGCACTTGCACACCTGGGAATCTCCTCTGGTATGCGAAGCTAATTAAAAAAACAAACAATGCACTGACCTTCCCTAACGCTAAGCGCCACAATTTTAAATAAAGAATTGTAAAATAAAATAACTCCACTGTTTATGAATCGTTTTGAATACGGTTTTCACCAAAATTCCTTAAATTAAATAAAAAATTAACTTATGCTATGTTAATGTTAGTGCATATATTTATTTATACAATTTTTCAAACTTCCACACTTTATTTTATTTACCAATCAAAAAGAAAAATAGGAATAACTTTCGTCAATCATTTTGAGGATTCGATTTTTGTATTACCTTCGTCAAGAAGGTCGTCGTCCCCTGAGCCTGCTTGTTGCATCATGTACATTTCTTTCTCGAAGTCTTGTCTACAAAAGAGTTGTCCGGCCCTCAGGACAAATTGTTCGCCTTTTTGTAAGGGTTGACAGCACACGACACATACGAAACAGGGTAGGTGAAAAACATGTTGCTGGGCCCTCATTACCATGTCGTGGGGCAGTACCCTGTCTCCGCAACGTGAACACTTTACACCAAATATCCTGAAAATGGACATTTGAAATTCAAGTTTGTAATCAAACTTTATTAATTAATTTAGACGAAAAATCGACAAGGAATTATTTCTCTTTCATATTTATATTTACTTACAGTAACTATTAACTATTTGATTAACCATCAGTGCATATTATAAAGCCAGTACATCATCGGTAAATTTAACGAAATACGCATTCAACTTTTACTAATATTGAAATTAATAAGTAATTGATATAATTATTCATTTTTCATTTTAATTAATTGTAAAATTGATTCTGAAAATGTATCGGACCCGCCGCATACCGGATCCAAACTGGGTACCCTTCCAATTTCTAAAGTACACAATGAAACCAATATTTACACCAATTGTAACTATTGTTATAGCGTTCGGGTACCTATTTAGTTACAACATGATGAGAATAGAATGACGAAGAATAAAATACAGAGAAAGCTTTCGAATAAAAGCTCTGAGAAAGACGTCACCGAATCGATGGCGCCGTCAACAATTCTCGTTTATTAGCGACGCTAGGAAGCGTCGTATTAGATACCTTGCAGACGCGTCCTTTGAAAAAGATTTAACGTTTTTATTGAATACGCTCCAACAATTTCTGACATCTCATGCATATATAGACTTATATTTATATAGAGATACAGCACCTCACAGTTAGGGTAGAATATCATCAGCAAAGTATGAGTTTTTCAATCAAATGCTTTTGCATATTTCAAATTTCTTAGTTTATTGTAATCTTTTATTTACCTTCAATATATGCTTAAGGCATGAAAAAGAAAAAAGTCGACAATGAAATGGGCACTTAACTTCTATGTTCGGTTAACTCCTTGCCTTACCTGTATACGTACAGGAGTATCTAATATTAATAATGTTGTTACAGACCATTTCAATTTGTTAGAATTGTGACCTTGAAGAAACCTGCGCGAAGATAGAAAGAATACACACTAGGAGTGAGCAAGACAGAAATAGTTGGAACAAGCTTGAACGAGCAGGGCTCTCGAAGGGCGGTCTTAGGAGATCGGCTAAAACTGTACAGTACTAGACGAAAATGTTTAGCAATTTATTAAAACAAAAATGTATATAAATTAACAATAGAAAACAAAGCAAAAGTTTTATAGGTGTGTAGAACGTTAAGTTAATTCACTTGTTATTATTTTTGGCTAAATATGCTNAAAACAAAGCAAACCTAAAGGAAGTAGACGTTCTTTTTTTTAGTTATATAATTTATAAATCACTGCTGCATCCTCTCAACCCATTTATATAAAAAAAAAACACAAAACTAAACAAAAATACAACTTTATTACTAAAACACTTAAAAAGCAACAAAACACATACCATACATACAAAAACGTATTGCAAAACAAGAAAGCTTTTGAAGCAACGAAAAGCATATCATAAATAAAAAATAATGTATTCCTTAATCAAAAAAAAATCATAATCATAAACAGTAAGAAAAATAAATTCCTTAATAATAATTACAATAATAAATACTTTCTAATACCAGACAATCACAAAAATGTCAATAAATACGACTCACTTTGTACAGGATGATCTTCTTCAAGCAGTCTGTAGTCCAATGCACACTTATTTCTCTCAGAATTCGCCCCGACTTCATTATACAACCGAGCTTGCAAATAGAGAACATCTTTGACCCTCGAAAACGCCTCAACTTTCTCAAAACCACTCCTAACATCGTCCAGCATCTTTGCTGCTTCCAGAATTATTTTGTTTCTCTCCCCTTCTGGTTTATGGCCCGCATTGGCAACAACACACTTTACATACAGCAAAACGGCCCTCGCCCTGTCGAAATGCCCCCCGTGGGTCAAGATATGGACCAGACCACCTTCAAGAAGCTCCAGAGCCTGCCCAGGCATCCCCAATAGCAACTGGACGTTAGCCAAATGAAGATGGACAATTGAAGACAGATAATTAAGATGAAAATCGTTTGCATAGACCAAGGAAGAGTTCAGGAGGGATATAATACCCGGGGGAACTGATTCCGGGAAACTACTGTTGCACTGGATCTCTGCCAAAAGTATCATCGCTCGAATTTGGTAGTCTATACGTAGTTTGTGTTTGAGGATCTCAGTGGCCCTTTGATGGGCCTCAGAATAATCTTTCCGGTACAGAAGAAGTTCTGTGAGTCTCAGTTTGCTCTCCCAAGGGTCCACCACAGATATTTTTTGAGCTGCAGTCTCAGCTTCGAACCAGTGGCAATTGTGCAGAGAGCGAATAAAAACGAAAAGATTTTCACACAAAATCCACGAATTGGAAACAGGTTCGTTTGGGAAATGTTCTTTTGCAAGACTTATGAGACTGTTGGTCAACGAATATTCGCCTTGTAACGTGAAGTAGTTGGCCAAATTACAAATGGAAAGACAGAGCGGTTCTCCACAGAAAGACTTCCCCAACACCGCAGTTTCCATGTTCAGATGGAGAAGTAGCTGACTCCAAAGCGAGGACATTTCCGTTTTACCATAAAAAAGCCAAAGGGACGATTTGTGAGCATAACTGGCGGAAATTAGGTCCCCATACGAGTGCTGACAATTGACTATGTCACTTTTAGTTATAGTCTGAAATAAGGCAAAATTAAAGCAACAATTTCAAAAAGGAAATCACAATAATTACGTACCTCAAATATTTGCTTGGGATTCCCACTGGTGACACCTGCATACTGTACAAAAGACTGAATACCCAAAGACATGATGTAAGTCAAGTTCAAATCAAGACTTTTCAATATGGAATGTTCAAGCAATTTATCTTTGTTTGTATTTATTAAACAGTACAACCAAGAAAGGGCATGTTGAAGACAGACGTTATCATTTGCTTCTTGGGCCATTGTAATGGCTTCTTTTAAGGCAGCAAAAGCCTCTTCCCTGTAAAATAAGTAATACATAAGTACAAAAGAACATTAAATAATCATATTTGAGTACCGGTGCTCCATTTGGTAGTGAAGAACAGCCAAATTTAATGCAGCAAACCTGTAGGCTTTGTTCTTTTCATCGCCAGAATTTCGGTTATCAGTCAAATTCATTCTATCAAAACAATGATGAAGACTGTGGACTGCACCACAAAACTCCTTTACTCTCAAGTAGTTTAAATAACTAAGGAAATGCTAAAAAAAAGTTCTCCAAATAAATAAGTAAGGAAAATCTAAAATAACTTACTGCTTCTGCTAAATCTGGATTGGACTTTAAAAGATTTCTTATGTGAAACTGTAATTCTTTAGGATTCAAAGCCTTTCCTTCGTTATTTGACAGTAAAGCTGCCTGAGATGCTATAAAAAGTTCAGCTTGTCTCCTAGACCACTGGTCCTTATCTGAATTCCTAAAAGGCAACAGAAATTAGACAACATTAAAACAACTTCAAATATACTTACCAGTCACTAATCTCTTTGTATTTGCAGGCCATTAAAGGATCAGGGTTGACTTGATGGGCCCTTTTAAATGGTTCATAGTATCTTTTGAATGACTGGAGAACTGCTGTTACTTCAGAAAATGTAAGTTTATCAAAATTTAATAAAAATCTCCTTATGTAATAGCCTAGAGCAATAAACATGTTTACACATAAACTCAAAGACAATTTACCTTTGAACTTACCTACAACGCTGCTTTTATTTATTTGTAAATGTGATGTTTTCCTGACAGTGTCCATGTCTCTTAAAATTAATCTTCTTACTTCATCAATTAAATCTAAAAAGTAGCGCATTCCCTTTGAATTTACATTATCAAGGACCTTATCAAATTCTTTTAAGAGATGTTTGTGGACAGTATATTTATCAGATACAAGCAAGTTTCTAAGTTCCAGCAACGTAAGATCAGGATTTTGTATAAGCTTAAGTATAAGGATACAAAAGTCCTGGACATGCCTAGGTCTTATTTTCTCTAGTGGAAGAACTAAATAAATATCTAAAAACATAACAATATAGAGATTAAATGATTATCAACCCTTTTTGCTTAATTTCTTACCAGAAGTTCGAAATTTAAAAAACTCCTTTAAAAGAATTGCTACTGTTAAACGATGAGGGGTAATTATTTCACGATCCACTTTCTTGGGAAGATTCTCCTTTGGATTTATCATTTTATTTAGTTTTTATATCGTAAAACGCATACTAAACAACCATAATTATTTAAAAACAACTAGGGTTATGTAAACGTCAAACCTTCTATTGGATAATGATCATAGACTATATATAATCTCTATAGAGAGTAAGTAATCTTAGAATTGTTAATTAAATGATTATTCCTAATAAATTAAATCTTTCCTAGAAAACACTGTCGATCATAAGTAAAATTTATGTACTACTACTAATAATAATCAAATGATTAATTTATTAGTAGTAGTATTATTCCCAAGCGTATGGATCTAGCATAGCCACATTCACATTCCACAGAGTATACGTCTATTTACACCATTTACACAAAACAATTAATAGGTTAGTTTAGGTTGACGTTTGGAGGTTATAATAAATATTTTTTACTTGTAAATACCGGTAAATTACAAAATTGAAGGAGATAATGGTATATTTTCATTAACACAGCCTTTGTTCTTAAATGTACTTTGTTTCTTCTTTTCAGTTGTTTTATTCGTTTTTCAAGTCTCTTGTTGGGAAAGATGTTGTAGTTGAATTAAAGAATGACTTAAGGTACCTCAAAAAGTTGTAAACTAATTATTATAATCAAAATTTTACCAATTCTTTCATTTTATAGTATTTGTGGCACCCTACATTCTGTGGACCAGTATTTAAATATTAAATTAACAGACATAAATGTAACTGATACAGAAAAATACCCTCACATGGTAAGAGGTTCTTTACGCCCCATTATAATTAAATAATTGCAAATTTCTATAGCTTTCAGTTAAAAATTGTTTTATACGTGGCTCAGTTGTAAGATATGTACAATTACCAGCTGATGAAGTGGACACCCAATTGTTACAAGATGCAGCACGAAAAGAAGCAGCAGTACCTACAAGATAAATATAAGACCAAAGTGTATTTGATAAGATATTCTCCTATTTTCTAATAAAGTGTACTAAAAAGAATTAATGTCCATCATTACCCACAAAACAATTTTGTATATTAAATGAAAACATGAACAAACTAAATTTTGTAAAATTACTTCATTTCCTGCTAACAATTATCACCTAATATGCTAGAAATAAATATAACTGCATTTAATATAATGTTCCTAACTACAAACAATATTTCTATTCATTTAATTTACAAATAATAAAAAAAAATATTTTTCTCTTTACATAATGATTCTATTTAAAAACGCTTCTACAATATCCCTAAAATTAATACGACAAACTTTCCTGTAAATTGTTAAAGAAAATAAATAAAGTTTTAATTAATAAATAATTCACCGAAATTTTATCTCTCACACCTATTTGAAGCAATTTGTTGAATACATATACTTCATAGAGTGCGCTTTTCCCCGGAGGTGTTCGTGATGGCATTAGCTGAACATCGATCGCTTGCGTTTCATAGGCAGATCTGCTCAGTGGGTGGCGTCACCAAGTGGTTTCATTGTCAGCTAAGAGCGTCGTCGATGCCTTTGTTCGCTCGACTTCGATCCTGGCTCTCATGAATTCATAAATTCTTCCAAATTTAAATGGGGGGCCGGTCTTAAAGTAAAATACACCTCCAAGTAACGGCACTACAGTTCGTAGTATGCCATTTTTTTTTTGTTTCTATATTTAAATTAATGATTGTTATTTAAAAGAAGTAAAATTCATTTTGTTTTGTTATTATTATACTTATCTAATCGTAAAATAACATATTCAACGCAACTATTAAACGTAAACTTTTGAAATATGTACCAATAAAAAGCTAAATACAGGATACTCTTTTAAATTAGAAGCCGGGTCTGGTAATTGATGCTATTATGTATGTATACAACACTGTCAATTACTTGTTAAGTTAATTACACTATTACACCAAAGTAGATCGTTATTATTAGTTACGCGCTACATATTAAGATATCATATTAAAGATTGTATCTCGAGTTAGTCGAGTACCACTGACACACACGTCTTCTTCAGATTCAACGAACAATACAGCACAATAATTAGTTGTAATCTAATCACTCATAACAATGAGTGTAACAACCTAGGATAATAGCTGATGCTAAGTAACTAATTACAATTAAGCACCGACTGCTTAGATATAACCAAGGATCTAAAAGTAAATGTTAACAAATCAAATGTTTGCGACCATGTTATCTCTTCACCAGCCGGTACGTTACGGTTTACTGCACTTTTTTCTACTATGGTGTCGTGTACAAACGCGTTGATGAATTAATTTTATTAATTAGACACATACTGTTGTGAAACAGTTACAAAGTGTTCAAAAACTTAATATTTAACGATCATTACGAAATATTGTAAAGTATTTTTTTGTGCTGTATTTCAAAGGATATAGTTTGATAATCGCTTAATCGCCGAAACAATCATCAATGTTCTTTAATAAATTCTAAAGTAATATGCCAAGTTATTTTTCCCTAAACGACCTAACTATCAATACGATTATTAGTGATATTTCTCAGGAAGGTTACCAATGACACAACGAGATTTGCTTATCAAGTAACTATAATTTTTTGTTTTGATTTAAATCCTTTATCACGAAAGCCTTAATATCGATGGGACTAGCGCAGGTTTATTTATGTAGAATGCAATCAGTTTCATCTAATTGTAAGTTCTTAACATACTTGCGAACAAAAAGAGCACACTATAATTGACTTATTATTCTACTCTTTTATTATCTTGTATTGTTTTTACACCATGTTTTGTAGACCAGGTCAAAGTCAACATTAAAATAAAATAAATAGACAAGCGACAGTAAAAAGTATACGTATTTATAAGTATTTAAGTACGTCACATTTAAGTTTTCTTTATCAAATGTTCCAAAATTATTAGCCTTTATCAAATGTTCCAAAATTATTAGCCAAGTATTTTCCTTCACATGAAACAATAAAAGTCGTAATGAAAAAACAGTAATTTCGTTGTGTTTCTTATCAGCGATAAATTCCGTTGTTAAGTCATTGTAAAGGAAATTAAAGAAAGCAGTAAACTGTACGGCTATGAATTAATTGATGTGAAAAGTATATCATGAGCAAGCGCAATTATTTTAAAGTAATGGTTTATACCTAATTCTTAATTAGAATGTGAGGCACGTATTACCCATAAACCACAAACACATCTCATAAATAATCATATAGGCTATAAAATCACCGTAATGTGATTGACTCTGATTGCTTTCGTAAAAATTTATAAGAAATTACACCTCAACAGCCCCTAATTACCACAAAGGGAGTTTAGTAAATAGGGACAACAAGGAAAAAAAGTTTACATAATCATATAAATATTTTTGTGATGCCGCATCCCCCAATTTTTACATTTCAAGAAATTTTACCTTATAAATACATACGATAACGATTTCGAAAACTTTTTATTTTTGTTGACACTATATGTCGAATTATAAAGTGTCTAGCAAAATGACAATGACC